ATGATGGCTGCCCGAAAAATGAACTGTAGTGAAGAACAAATGGTTGTTGTAGCTCTCACGAAGGGTCGGCTCAGAGATGGTGGCGGGAACAAAACAAGGGAGAGATAATCTCCTTATCCTACTAGCGATCAGATTTTAAGAGAGAGAGAGGAGGGAGTAGCGAGATGAGGGTGACGAACAGAGAAAAGAAACGGGTTGCGGAAAAAATTTAATCTCAAGCTAAGGGTTTTTAATTCCATATATATAGCATTAGGGTATGTTTGTCTTACCTTCCAAGACACACACACACATACACGCATACACACGCACGAAGGAAGGGAAAAACCGGGTCTGCTGGGCGGTTCGACTGCTTGGCCTCAGGTTCTCGCACACGGCTCGGGCTCTTGGTTCAACACTTTAATTTAGACGAGGCTCGGTACGAACGTTCGATAATTAAATTAAGACAAGATATAGGTATATAAATACACATAATAATATTATTTATTAATACACACTAATCATATTTAATCAATTAAGCATATTAGACAATTATATAAATATTAATAATAATATTAGTAATCAAATAAACAATTAAAAGCAATTAGGCACTTAGCAATAATATTTATAATAATATCAATATCGATAATCAATTAGGCAATCAAATAATAATAATAATAAAGAGAATAAATAATAAATAACCCAATTATTCAATATTCAAACGGGGTATTACACTCTATCCACCTTACAAAGAATTCCGTCCTTGAAATTCAAAAATAAAACTAGAAAGCAGTAAACTACAAATGGATTATCAAACATGAGATTTGATACTGCCTTCGATTCTCGGTTTCTCTCTCCCAAGTCATCTCGCCCTCGACTAGACTACCACTACTGGACTTTGACGAGTACCCCTCCTGGCCTTTTCCTGACGGACCCTTGGTCCCAACAAGTTACCGGTCCCTCCATACAGGTAGGGTTCTGCCTAACTCGCAGCTCGTCACAAAAACACACATACCTCGAGGTCACGCACACGTTTCTCTATCATGAGACATATCACGTGTCATGCATCCTCGTAATTTCCAGTGGTGCAGTCAATCATCAGGATAAGACATCGACTTGGTCGAAGATCATAATAAAATGGAATAAAACTGGCCGTAGCCTCTTCTCTTACAACGGAGCTCCTCACTTCACGTGGTAACTACATTTGCAATCGAGTACAACAATTCATAAAGATAAAACCTCCAAGCAAGACTTAGGTCATTGCAATACACATGAAAAATTCTCGGAATCATTACGCATTTACACGCTAGAGACTTAGCTGCTATGACATGAATGGCTGGCCTGGCATGCGGCAACGCGGCACGCTACATGCGGCACACTACGCACGGCACTTTCTACAACTCGAGATGCATCACCGAGCGTAGCACGCCTGTGCGTGTCACCAACAAGCAGTACACCTGCACCACCTGCATCCAGTAGCTACGGTTCATTCCTCATCAACTGCTACATCTCCCTGTTTTGATACGTATATGAATATCGGAAATTCCCTAGTGTTTTGCGACCCTAATTTCCATCTACAAAATCTAAATACTCCGACTTCGCTTGTCAGGGTACTTGTACTTCATCATGAGTCAATTGGCTGATTACTCACAATGTTTTTCACAACTCCTCAGCTTCCCTCCTTAAAGACTTCTCCTAGTCCATGGAATTTCCAGAACTTTGTTGAATCTCTTCCCGATCGGGTAGGCGGAGACTTTCACGTACGATCCTCCAGCGTGACACTCAATTCGTTCACAATAGGAGGATTGATTTACGCCTATTTTTAGGCACAAGTATTCTCAAGAGTTGCAACTTATTCGCTCTCTTGAACCTTCCACATTGACTTAAATATGTCATGAAACAAGACTCTAAATTTACGAGAACAAATAAGGTTCAGCTGAAATATTAAGACCTACTACATCTGAATCTCATTCTATGCAAAGAAAGAAAAAGACAAGCAAAATTTCAAAATTTCTGAAATTGAACAACCAAGAATAGTCTCTAAACAAATTCAAACATGTCTAACAAGACCAAGGGAATTAAATAAGGTTTGCTAAAAAGTACGATAAATGCAATTCTAATAAAAAGAGGAACAAATAATCGTCTCAAATCTGACATTTGATTGACTGCTTAGCCCTAGTTCTGCTCGGCTTCATACTGGGCCATCGTGTATACCCGTGCTTGACCTCCTTCGCCATACCTCGGTTGGGCCTGCTGATGTTGCTGCTGAATCTGTTGTTGAGGTGGCGGCAGGGGAAATTGCTGATGATGGGGTTGCTGATTGGGTTGTTGCTGCTGAAATGGCTGTTGTCCATGTAGTTCAAGGCACGTGCTACAGAAATGTCCTGGGCGATGACAGTTGAAGCAGACCTTCTGATTGTGCCAGCATTCTCCGTCATGGTGACGACCGCAGTTAAGGAACCTCGGATTCGGGCCCTGGTTGGCGGGGCGCTCATCACGTTGGTCGTCTCTTCTACGTTTTCCCTTCCGGTCATCCCGGTGGGAATCTGTCTTCCTCTTGCCCGAACTAGAGTCGGACGACATAGTAAAGAGGGGATGAGCATACTGAACAGTAGTTTGGGCAGGATGGGAAGCACGGTGATATGATGGAACTGGAACTATAGGAATCAAACAGCTCTCCACTTCCTGAGCCCGACTCACAGTGTCGGCGAAAGACATCAATCCGTGACTCCCTACCAGTTCACGGATCCTCTGATTGAGCCCCTTGAGGAACTTGTGGGCCTTCTTGGCATCGGTGTTCACTGCGTCGCCCGCAAAAAGGCACATGCGGGTGAAGGTGCGGATATACTCATCCACCGTGGAGCTGCCCTGCTGCAAGTAGTAAAACTCATGCTCCATTCTGTCCCAAAAGCTCTGGGGAAGGAACTTGCTACGCACCATTATCTTAATTTGCTCCCAAGAGAGTGCATGGAGCTCCGCCTCTGGCCTCCGAGCCCAGTGGTCAATCCACCAGTCGGAAGCGTCCTCCTTCATCGGTAAGCTGCAAGGGATACCCGCTGACGGTCAGGGAGGGGAAGTACAACGAAGATCTTATCCAGTTCTTTGATCCACTCCAGCACCGTTGTGGGGTTCTCGGTCCCCACAAAGTTTGGTGCATTCATCCTCTGAAACTGAACGATAAGCTGAGTAAGGTCCATGGCTGGAGGGGCCGGGTGCTGACGAGGTGGAGAAGGAGACGGGGATGGCTGACGGTTGCGGTTGTTGCGGGTATTCATAACTCTACATTGAATAAGCCGAATAAAATTTAGCACATTAACATAAATAAGGAAGTCTAGAGTCCGCCACTAACCACTAGAGTTCAAATCATTTAAAACACGGTGGATAGATCTTAAGCTCCGATTTACCACATCAATAATCAATTAATGCATAATAATCTTAAAATTATTCAGGTACTCATACGTGAGCTGGCGCGGCACGACGAGAGCGAGTGGTCGTATCACAAGGTCAAAGAACATAATCACAAAATCAATTTTCCATACTTAAACCAGTCTACAGAAACGCAGACTGGCTCTGATACCAAACTGTAACGCCCCACTTTAAGTTACCGAAGTTAAGAATAAATTTTTCAAATTTTATTTCAAAACATATGGCGGCGCTACTCATTTTCAAATATTTTCCAAACGGGTTCGGTAATCATGTCAATACCCAAACCGGGTTCATAA